ATTACTATGAATATGAGTATGAATATCGATATTAGTATCAGTATCAATATCAATATAAGTATAAGTATTAGTATTAGTATCAGTATCAGTATCAATATAAGTATCAGTGTTAGGATTAGTATTAGTATTAGTATTAGTATTACTATTACTATTAATATAAGTATTAGTATTAGCATCAATATCAAATTAAGTATTAGTATTAGTATTAATATAATATTACTATGAATATCAGTATGAGTATGAGTATTAGTATCAATATCAGAATTATTATTGTTATTAGTATCAGTATTAGTCTTAGTATTAGTATTAGTATTAGTATTAGTATTACTTTTAGTATTAATAATAATATCAATATTACTATTAGTATCACTATAAGTATGAGTATTATTATTAGTATTAGTATCAGTATTAGTCTTATTCTTCGTATTAATATTAGTATTAATATTAGTATTAGTATCAATATAACTATCATTATCAATGTAAGTATCAATATTATTATCATTATTAGTATCAATATTAGTATTATTCTTAGTATTAGTATTAGTATTAATATTATTATTAGTATTTGTATTGGTGTGAGTATAAGTATTATTATTAGTATCAGTATTAGTATTAATATTAGTATTAGTATCGGTATTAGTATTAGTATTATTATTAGTATCAGTATTAGTATTAGTATTAATATTAGTATTAGTATTAGTATTAACATTAGTATTAGTATTAGTATTAGTATTAGTATTAGTATTAGTATTAGTATTAGTACTATTAGTATTAGTATTAGTATTAGTATTAGTATTAATATTAATATTAATATTAGTATTAATCAATATTACTATAATTATCAATGTAAGTATCAACATTATTATTAATATTAGTATCAATATTAGTCTTATTCTTAGTATTAGTATTAGTATTAGTATTAGTATCAGTATTAGTATTAATATTAATATTAATATTAATATTAATATTAATATTAATATTAATATTAATATTAATATTAATATTAATATTAATATTAATATTAATATTAATACCAGTATTATTACCAATATTAGTATTAGTGTCACTATTAGTATTAACATTAGTATTAGTATTAATATTAGTATTAGCATTAGTATTATTATTCGTATTCGTATTCGTACTAGTATTAATATTAGTTAAATCAAATTAGTATCACTATTGGTAACAATATTGGTATTAGTATTGGTATCGGTATTGGTATTAACATTGGTATCAGTACTGGTAGTGGCGTATACATCATATCTCTTTTGCAATATTTATAAGTTTTATTGTTGTTTGAGTAATGTGCATCACTAATTGAAAGCCATCAGTGATAAACTTGCAGGTTATTTTGAATATCTATTGTGTTACTTCTCTGTTACCGTGTTTGTTGTTACCTTAGTTATTTTGCAGAAGATTCACATGGTGTAGTAGATTGCAATCCAAGAAATAGAGTTATACCATATGTTTTAAATGATTTCATTTAATCTTGATATCGTGTTTTGCGCGCTTCATGTTTTCTTATTTGTAATATTTAACTCTATTTCATATGTTACAACTCTAAATTAAGAGATAAAGTTTGTGTTTTTTATTTCCTTCCATTTTGTTTTACTTGAATTGGTATTGTTATAAAGAGATAGTCGTTTACATAAGTTTATTTTTCTCATTTTGAAACTGACCTCCGTGCAACGCACGGGTGAAATACTAGCTTTCACCATAGATATTAAATAGTACTGATACCTTATTTATGTGCTAATATTTGCAAACTCATTTTATTCCTAGTACTGATACATTATACATATAGAGTTATAGTGATACTAATAGTGATATTGATACTAATATTAATACTAATAGTAATACTAATAGTAATACTAATACTAATACTAATACTAACACTAATACTAATACTAATAACAATAATAATTATGTTCCTGATATTAATACTTATACTCATACAGATACTCATAGTAATATTATATTAATACTAATATTAATACTGACACTAATACTGATATTCATAGCAATATTAATATTAATATTAATAATAATACTAATACTTATATAGATATTGATACTGATACTAATACCGATACTCATACTGATATTCATAGTAATACTAATACTAATATATACTCATACTAAACTGATACTCATACTAATATTGATACTCATACTCATACTGATACTCACAATCATACTGATACTCGTACTAATACTTATACTAATATTGATATTGATACTGATACTAATACTAATACTAATACTGATATTGATATTGATACTGATACTGATACTAATACTCATACAGATACGAATATTGAAACTGAAACTGAAACTGAAACTAATATTGATATTGATACTGACACTCATAATGATACTGATATTGATATTGATACTGATACCAATACCGATACCGATACCGATACCGATAACGATACCGATACCGATACTGATGCCGATGCCGATGCCGATACTAATGTCAATACTGATATTGATACTGATACTGATATTTAGACTAATATTAATATTAATATTAATATTAATATTAATATTAATATTAATATTAATATTAATACTAATACTAATACTAAAACTAATATTAACACTAATATTAATACTAATACTATTACTAATATTAATATTAATACTAATACTATTACGGGGAATACGATGCTACACCTGGTGATTTTCACCGGGTGGCTCTTTTCTTGACATGTGTCCTTTTTTATTTATTTTATAATTATATTCTAAAAATCCATTGGGTCATAACTGAACCCGTAGGGGGAATCTTATTAATTAGGGTGTCTGGTTATATTCACTAGGTGTAGCATAGAATTTCCCATACTATTACTAATACTATTACTAATACTAATATTAATACTAATACTAATACTAATATAAATATTATTTATAATACTAATATGTTAATATTGTTAATGTTAATGCTAATGTACATATTCTAATGCTAATACTAATTTTAATGTTAATGTTAATCTGGATATGCTTATGCTGATTATAATTGTAATACTAATATTATCCAAATCCTTATCCTATTAATTCCTAATCCTATTCATAACAATAATCATGATTCTAATCCTAATCATAATTCTAATCCTAAACCTATTTCTAACATTAATTATAATCCTAATAATTTTACTACTAATAACACTAATGTTAATGCTAATATTAATTCTAATTATAATTATAATTTTAATTCTAATCATAATCCTAATCCTGATTAGATAATCATAATACTAATACATGTCACTAATTGTAGTACTAATCAATAATCATAATCTTAATTATAATTCAATTACTAATATTAATCATAATCATAATCATAATCCTAATCCGAATATTAATTATAATACTATATTAATCCGAATCCTAACCCTAGTATTAATACTAATATTAATTCAAAGAATATTAATTATAATCTTAATTCTAATGCTAATACTTATCATAGTCCAAATTCTGATTTTGCATCAATGTTTTTGCAATTATCTATTATTTTGTATAAAAATAATTATATTCAATCTCGCAGCTTTTATATCAAATTCCTTATGTGTGGTACCTGAAACATTAAGAAACACATATTAAATATATTAGAAATTACTATTTAATTATATTATCAAGCTGATATTAAAATTATTTAAAATTATATAAGGATATAAGCAAACGTTAAGAAGTGAAAAGAACGATAATCGTTGTTAATAGGATAAATTACGAAAATCCTCATGAACTTAGGCTAAATTACGCAAGCACCCCCACTTATCGGTAATTACCAAAATCCCCCATATGATTGTTTATGTCTTACACGACACCCTTATGGTGTGATTTTTTACGGAATCTTTTTTATTCCATGTAATATCCCAAAAATTGTGGATTCTACCCTTGCACACGACGTGACATTTCTTTTATCTTACTTTTTAAATACAAAAATTACCCTTAGAGGAGGTAATAGTAATACTAAAAAGTTAGAAATATAACTCTATTAGTATTAATAGATTGTTATATGTCTTACACGACACCCTTTAATATTAGCCCATGATACATTTCTTCGTTTTTTATCGAGTTTTGAAATGTGTTTGAGTTTTGTTCAATTAGCAATGAAGTCGACTTGGACAAACTTTAATCGAGCCGAACACGAATCAAATTCAAATAGTTTAATTTTCTTTACATATAATTAATCATATCTAAAGTTTGCTTCGATAAGTTCAAACCGACTTTGAACTATATCAAACTGAATACTTCACTGGGTCAATTTGATTTTCAGCCATACTTAATCAGTGCTAACTCTTTCTATCGAGTGTTATGTAAACAATTTTTGGGAAAATACAGTTTTCGTCCCTCAAGTTTGCATTAAATTCACTTCTGGTTCCCCATGTTCACAAAAAACAGATTTGGTCCCTCGTGTTTCAATAATTTGACACTTTTGGTCCTTGCCGTCAATTTTCTGTTAGTACTAACGTAATCAAGCGTGTACACATCACTGTCTTCATTGACGTACTAATGGTAACTTGACGAAAATGATCAGAAGTATCAAATTATTGAAACATGAAGGACCAAATGTGTTTTTTGTAAATAAAATGGACCAAATATGAAATCAGTACGAACTTGAGGGATGAAAGCTGTAATTTCCCCTAACAAATTTTGTAATAATTTTACCAAAAAAAAAAGTAATTCTTGTATTTGGAAAGACAAAACCACAATAATGCCACGCTGTTGCTTGTGGCAAAAGAAAAATCGTTCTTGACGGTTATTTCCCTCGTAGTTAGCCGTTGGGCAGAGGGGCAAAATAAATAAAAAAATAATTAACGGGGTTAATTTTATTTTTAACGCGTGTAAAAATATGGTAATAAGCATTTAATTAGTCGAAAGTTGATATGGAAATTGAAATCTTAGTGCTTCAGCACAAATATGGCAACACAATCTTTGATTCTTCCTTCCTTATATTTCCGGCCACAAAACCCTCAGGCCATTCCTCCCTATACATACATATATACATACACACCATTCCTCCCTCTATATATACACATAGTTCCATCTGTTATTACAGATACTTTCTTCGTTTGAGTTGCAGAAAATTTCTGAGTTTAATCACCAATCTAATAAGGTATAGTTCCTTTAACTATTTCTTTCTGTTAATTAATCTGCCTTCTGATTGTCTTATTTTCTCTCTCCCCTTTTCTCCATTGATTTGTAAGAGAGAGAATACTGAATATTTTTTATATATTTTTTTTAAAGATGGGGCGAGGAAAACTGCGTATGGAGCTGATAAAGAACGAAAAAGTACGTAACGCGGCGTTCGAGAAGAGAAAGAAGGGAATTGTGAAGGCTGCTAACGAACTCTCGACTCTCTGCGGGGTCCACATAGGCATGATAATTAACGAGCCTGGACAAAACAGCAACGAGCCCACAATTTGGCCTGCGAACCGCGAAGTGATTTCGAAACTGATCGATTCGTACAAGTCGAAACCTGCAGGCAACGACTGCAGATACGGGACCTACAATTTGCCGGCCTTCTTCAAGAACCAGACCGAGAAAATCGAGGACGAGGTTAATAAATTGAGGAAGAGGACGAGGGAGGTGAAGTACCCGAAGTGGGATGAAAGGTTGGACACTTGTTCGGAAGATGAGTTGAAAGATTTTGCCGGTAAATTAACGGCCAAGATTGAATCTGCTAGGGTGAGGATTAATTCGATCAAGGTCTCGAGAAGCACCGTGTTTGTGAATCCCTCGGCCGAACAATTTCAACAGCAGCAGTACTATGATGGCAGATTCAATATGGGAAATCAAAGGATGATGATTATGAATAACGGTAATTACGCGTATAACAATACGCAAGATAATCGGATGCCGAACTGGAATGTTGGTAATTATGGGTTTGGCTTTGACGAAAGTCGGGTTCCGAACGGTGGTTTTGATCCGAATTTCGGTAATTATGGGATGATGAGGGTGAATGGTGGTGCGGGCAATGTCTTTTACAGTGCCGAGTGTGGGGCCCATTATGCCTTACACTAATGCGCCGACGTTTGAGCAGTTGATGCCGTTTTGCCCGCCAAACGAGGGACGGATGGCAAGTGTTTTTCCTCAAATGCAGGCTGCTCAAGAGGGAGATTACCTCCAGAGGCATGGTTTCTAGTCTAGGAATCTGAATTAACCAAGGCATATATATATCTTTTGTATAGATAGGCTAATTACGGTTTTTATTTTATTTTTTTGCGTTAGATTTGAGGTTGTTTATGGGGATTTCGAGATTAAAACTTCGAATGGTCGTTCTGATTTATTTTGTTTATTATTGTTCTTACCGATAAATTGTTGTTCTTCGAATATATATATATATACATGCAGATTTTCTTGAACTGTTGATATCGAGTTTGATAATCCAAGAAATCTCTCCTGTATGCACAACTGATGATATATATAACATAACCAAATTAGAAAAAAAAAAAAAAAAAAATCGATTAGATACATTGGCTTTGTGTTATGATTTATGAACATTCCACTAATAATAAATTAGTTGAAGACAAACCTAATGAAAGATTTTTAAAAATTGTGCAATGACTCATGAACTAGCTCTCGCTGATTAGGTAAAAAAAACAAATTCAATACTGTTTTACTAACCGTTTGTGACCAAACCGTACTACTGGTTCAAAAGCTCACTTCTACACAGAAACTGGTTCGCTAACCGATTTAGAAACATGGGGGTTTACCTGCAACATGGAAGTCCAGAAACGAAGAGTTTTTAGATGTGATTTATATATTTTTCTTGAAATAATCAGATTTGTGGATGAATACATGGAATGTTTTGAAAATTTAACTGTGTCGCGTAATGAATCGAGAACTTCAGACAAGGTGGGATGTGCATAAAATATCCTGTGAGTTATTACAGTGTAAAAAACATAAGTGATACATCGAATAATGTCAGTGCAGTAAGTTTAATATTCACAAACCTGAACTCGTGTGCCTAATGCTATAGCGTTCGACGCTTCGTGTATGAGGTCTGCAGCGTGCATACCAAGAATGTGGACCCCGAGAATTTCGCCAGTGTCAGGTCTGTATATCAACTGCAAGAAACAAAAACCAAAAATTCAGAAATTCTTCGAATGCTAAAAAATTGAAAGAGCAAGAAGATAGATCGAACCTTTGCGAGTCCTTCCCCTTCGTTTTCAGCCAGGGCCTTGGTATCATGTTTTTTTCTGTATCGAGCAGTACTGAGTTGTATGTAAGTAAAGTGTACCTCAGTCAACCCAGAAATTCCTTGCGCGCTTGCATCAGTTTACCACGATCCGAGGTTGCTTTTAAATTAAAACGAGTTAATAATTATTTAATGTTGATTTTTGTTGGCAAAGCAAGGGGTAAGAAGTTTACTGTGGAAGAACATATTTTACCTCCAATGTATCTTTCGGTTCTTTTGTCTTGGCATCAATAAGCTCCATAGTCACCGGCTTTCCATCTTTTGCTGGACTTATCTTTAAAAAATATCAGAAAACTCATCACTGTTTAAAGGAAGTATATATGCATGCATACACAATAATAAATAACTCCGTTGCATGGACTTTTTAGTAAAATAGTTTATTGTCTGGACTTCGTTATGAATAAGTACCCATTGATGGGCTTATTTGTAAAGTGCCCTTTAATTTTCTTATATTTTTCATATTAAATATAACCTAAATTATATTATAGAATTACAAAATATAATATTATATATTTTGAAAAACTATAGAAATACTCGAAAATAAAATCGGATCGAAAATTGGAACTTTTGGTAATTTTATATATCATTTCAATTCGTTCCAAATAAATTCGGAAGAATCGAACATCGAAACTTCGAAAATCGGAAAGAAAAATACGGTTCCAAATTCGAAACCCAAGTTCCAGCACAAGGGTAATAACAAAAAAAAAATAAAATAACAATACCTAGAAAATACTGATATTGTATTATTAATAAATATAATGAACTTAACAGAAAAATAAAATATGGGCCCAGCATTAGTGAACCGTAGAAAAAAAGTGCTGAGAGCGGCCCAAGAACTTAAAACACCGCCACCCCCTTCAAAAAAAAAAATATCAGTTCATTAAAAAATACTGTTTTTTAATCAGTAATCCAAAATTCGTACTTGATGGCGGGGAAGCGAGTCAGAATTGGTCGGAAATTTCAACCGAAGAAGGTGCGCGCGCTCTTAGAATTTATGTTATCCGTTCAAATCGAAACATTAAAATTTTACCCAGGGTTAAATTACGGAATTCCTGTTTGTGTTAGATGTTACAAACTAAACCCAGGGTTTTGTTTTCTAATTAATTTGTTTTTTCTCCCCCTTCAATTTGCACGAGCTTTTGAAAAGTGATTCTAAACTTTTTTGGGTTCAAAATCACTTTTCAAAGTGTTTGCAGTACCAACTTTTGCTTCTATTTTTTTTTAAACTAAGTTAAAATATAGAAAACACTCCTGGACCAACTTCTTCTAAAATAAGTTGTTTTTCTTAGAGTCTACAAACACCTCCAACAATTAAAAATAAGCACATATTGTTGACCTAACTCACAATCACCAATTTCGGCTTTTCTGGAAGCTTTTGCAAACACAACCTAAATATTTAAGTTTTTTTTTTTTCCAATTTGGCGGTTGTGTTATTTTCGCAGTAGAGTTCTAATTCAAGCTTCGTCGATGGAGGGTGTGAGTTTGTGCATTGTTTTTTCAGTTCTGATATGATTTTATTTTGTTTATTAGTGTGCAAAGAGATGCAAGGGTGATAATAATGATCGAATAAGTGAGTTGCCGGACGATATTCTTGTCACTATACTACATCTGCTACCTATGAAGGCAGCTGCACGTACAAGTATTCTTTCATCACGCTGGATAAACTTGTGGAAAAATATCTCGTCCCTCGATTTTGACGCAGAAATTGCGTTGGTCAAGATTGCAGATGACCCCAAGTTAAGCAATGAAGAGAGCCTCAAGTATGTAAGATGGGTGAATTGCGTCCTCCAATCACATAAAGCGTCCCCATTGAAAGAATTCAGAGTGTGTTTCGATTTAGGCCGAACGTTCAAGTATGCAATCACTCAGTGGCTTGAATTTGCGTTTGCGAGAAATGTTGAGAGGTTGGAGTTGGATTTTTCACCCAGAACTTGTAGAGTAGGCACAGTGGATGATACATGTTACGTTTTCCCGAACAAGTTCCTTAAACGCCCTTCACAAAGTTCTTCGGTTAACTTTAGGTCCCTCAAAGAGTTGTCTTTGAAATCTGTTATTGTGACTCGTGAAGCTGTTGAGTTCTTTCTACACAACTGCCCTTTGCTCGAAAAATTGGTTGTTAGTTACACATGTCAGCTATCAAATCTTGAAGTTTGTGGTTCATCCCTTGCCTTAAAACACTTGGAGTTAAAACACTGCTACGGTTTGAAATCAGTTAAGGTTTCTGCTCCAAATCTTACTTCACTTTCTATTCCTAAAGTGGAAGGACTCTTGCTTGAGAATTTTCCATCACTTGTTAAGGTATCTGTTACCTGTATTATTGATCGATATTCTGTCAAGAATTTACTTCCAACACTTTCTTGCTGCATTTTCCAATTGGAGACTCTTATCTTGACCCTGGATGACGACGGAGAGGTTAGACGACGGAGTTGTGCTTTTTATTTCGTTATTTTTTATTTAGACAAATACTTCTCACTTCAAATTTTATTTTACAGGATATTTTTCTACCGACGTTTCCTCAACTTCCTAAACTGAAGAAGTTGGTCATATACTATTGGGTAGACGGTGAGCAAAGTCTTATGGGACTAACCTCTTTGATAAGGGCATCTCCCAACTTGCAGGAATTTGTTTTAAGGGTATGTTTGCTTTCATGTTGGTAATATGTATATACCTCTTCCATGTTATTTATTTTTTCAATTGTCTATCAAATATAAATGCTACCTCTCTTTGTTATTAAGCCGGTTCCCACTTATATTTTTTGCAGTAAAACCCTTGTTTTTACGTAGTAGCAATATATCTATCTCTTAATTTTTACTTTTTATTTTGCATTTGCAGTTAACGGTGTGGGATTATTTGAGGTCAGATGAAGAAGTGAAGAATTCTATAAAGTTTCCCCACGAGCACCTTAAAGTGGTCATGTTTTGTGGCTATTGCGGTCGCTCCAGTGATGCTGAATTAGTCGGATACATTTTAGATAATTGTGTGGCGCTTGAGAAATTAGTTATTGATCCACGTTATCCATTCTTTTTGCGTGGAACACCATCGGACACCGAATTAGTTGAGGAACAAACTTCAAGGGATTACGCTAAGCAACAACTTGAAGCACAAGTACCTCAGCACATCGAATTTGTCATTCATTAACTTAATTCTGTAGGCGTTATTGATACTTTTGGACTCGTCATTACTGATATTTTTCATTGCAAAATTAGCACTAATTTCCAATGCGGTGATCTAGTTTGCATTGCAATTTTAGATTATTTAGCAGTATTGTAGTCTATTTGACATAGAGATTTCCACTCTTCAATTCAGAAAGATATATTACAACCATGAAATGTATTGAACAATATACATTATATGGTGATAGTGAAAATTAAGACCTGTTTTACAGGCTAATATAATAAGGAGCAATTTAGATTTAGAGGCTGTTTTGTTAAATTTATTTTAAACAACCGATGAGCTCTTACGTCGGATAAACTGTTTTAAATAGCTGATATTACATCTTTATTTTAAGAGTTGATATTACATCTGATAAACAACGGAAAATGTGGGGTACATGCAGTTTTTAAAAAAGATCTTACGAGCTTTTTGACAACTTATTTTTAAATACTAGGAAGGTGGACGTGCAACACTGTTTTTTTTTTTTTTGAGACAGCAACACTGTTTTAAATAGCTGATATTACATCTTATTTTAAGAGTTGATATTACATCTGATAAACAACGGAAAATGTGGGGTAAATGTAGTTTTTAAAAAAGATCTTACGAGCTTTCTGACAGCTTATTTTTAAATATTAGGAAGGTGGACGTGTGTTGCACCTCTTGTCTCGTTGTGAATTTTTCTAGATATTTTGTGATGATAATTTTTCCTTAAATTGAACAACTTCATCTAACATTGAAATCTAGATGTACAATATCATTTACCATTATATTTCATGACCCTATTTCTATTATTATTTTGGGCGAATGGCAAATCATGTTCACAAAAAGCACTTTTGGTCCCTCATGTTCCAATAATTTTAACGTTTAGTCCGTTAGTTAAGGCAGTGACGTGCATACGCTTGATTCTATTAGTTTTAACGGGAGATTGACGGAAAGAACTAAAAATATTGAATTTTTGAAACATAAGGGACCAAATGTGTTCTTTATGAACATGGAGACCAAATGTGAAATCGGTGCAAATTTGAGAGATGAAAACTGTAATTTCCCCAATTAATTATATATATACTCCTCTAGAGTCCTATTCATCTTTCTTCACTTTAACCTGAGCAGAGGAAAAAAAAAAAGCCAAGCGCATCATAAAAAAAAATATTAAAAAAAAAAAAAACCCCCTTCTTCCCGCCATTTTACACCACCACACAGCAACTACGATTTCAAGCTGCAATTCGAAGACAAAAAATGGAGTTTAGTATAAGTGGGAGTTCACTGAAAACCCTATCTCGCTCCATCACCTGCCTCGCCCGCATCGGCAACGAACTCGTTTTTCAGTCATCTCCTTCTCAGGTTCATACATATATTCCTAATTATTGTTGCGTTTAATTCAATTCAGTTAATTATCTCTGATTTCGTTTTAATTCAATCAATTAATCATGCCTAATTAGGGTTTTAACATCTTGTGGTTCACAGTAGAGTTTGGTGGCAATGAATTTTTTTAAGTGTTGGATTTTGAAATCAAATTCTGCACTAGTTTTTGTCATGAATTTTCAATACAATTAGCCCTAATCTGTGGGACCCATCAATAAAATCAGGATGATTTTGGGACGCTTGATAATCTGAATTTCCTTTTTTTTTTTTTTGGGTAATTTACGAAACCCCTGAACATAGTAGGCTAAATAACGAAAATCACCCCCACCTATTCGTAATTACCAAAAACCCCTAATGTTTGTTTCCGTCTTACACCAAGCTCTCCATAGAGTGAGACTTTTCACGGATTTTTTTTTATTCCAGGGAATAGACTTTACACAATTTCAGTTATTTTTTTATTTCTCACCTATTTAACAGAAGGTATGTAATAGACTATACACATTTTTTGTTAAAAAACTCGATCAACAGTTAATCAGATAGGGATTTTGGTTATTACTGATAGGTGGGGGTGTTTTTCGTTATTTAGCCTAAGTTCAGGGGTTTTTTCATAATTTACCCTTTTTTAATTTTTTTTTATTGCTTTCGTTGCTTATTGGGTTAATTGTGGCTGAAGCATAAAGAATCTATGAGGTCTTGATATATTCATTCATTCAGTGTATGATAATAATCGTGTTTTGAATTGTTGGAGTTGACGATATGTAGTTCGTTTTTGTAATTTTTTCTTAATCGATGGCAGCTCTCTCTTCACACTCTTAATTCATCGAGATCGGCCTATCAATCCATAACATTCAAGCCCGATTTCTTTGATGTATATTCGGTATCTGGTGCCCTGGTCCAATGCAGCGTGCTTTTGAAGGTATACCGTTTTTTTTTTCTTTCCTCAGTGTAGATACGATACTACTTTCTGATATGATGTTTTACGCAGGCAATATGTTCGGTTCTGAGAACTCCGATTGCTAGTATCGATCATTTGAACGTTGTGCTGCCCGATTCTGATTCGTCGAAGGTGCAGTGGACTTTGGAATGTTTCAATGGTATGAAATGAAATCCTTTTAGCTTCATATTAGCCGGTTTTCTTTTTAATTGGATGAACGAACGACTTTTATGAAGATAAATTAGACAATGAAACATTTATTAAATGTTTATGGCGAGGCATGACAACATTTAAAACGAGTAAATTGTATTCACCTGATCGGCGATTATAATTTTTTTTATTGGGTTTAAATTTTCTTGTACCTCACTGTAAGACATTTGATAAATGTTCCATTGTCTAATTTTAACCTCCGTCGCTCGTTTTTTGTAAGTTGCTCAGCTGCCCACATCTAAGAGAAGAATTGTATCAATTTGTATGGTCAAAGTCGGTCAAAGTTGATAAATGTATCTGCCACAAACATTCCTAATCTAAGTCACACGACAGAAATTGATGTCCGTTATTTATTCTGTGATAATAGTTAGTGATAGTCCAACCGAAACCGAACCGAACGATGGTTGAATGCATTTGAATATAAGTTTGTGAAGTTTTAAAAAAAAAATTTAATGAAAAACTTGGATTGTGTTACAACTTGTGAATGAATCTTTTATTGCTTTTTATTCTTGTAAGTTTTACAGGTATGAGAAAATCGTATTGGATAACGTGCAACGTCGAACCCGATATACAACATCTATCGCTTGATCGAAGAAAGCTTCCGAGCAGCTTTGTTGTAAGGCCTCGTGATCTTAACCAATTACTGTCTAATTTTCAATCAACCCTTCAAGAGATTACTATCATTGCAACCCAACTGTCTGCATTGCCTCTCGATGCTGCTGACGAGATGGGCGGAAAATCCGTGGAACTTAGAAGTTACTTAGATCCCACCAAAGGTAACCTTACGATTATTTTCAACTAAACAATCTATAAATTTTTTTTATTATTCAGAAATACAGTAGAACCTCGATAAATTAATAACCTCGATTAAATAATAGTTTCTCCCGGTCCTGACTCGGTGAAAATGTGTTAAATTATTAACTCGATAATTTAATAATTCGATGAATTAATAGAATTTCCCTGATCCCGACAGTATTAATTTATAGAGGTTTAACTGTATATATTAATTTTTGCAGAAAATGATTCGTCACTACACACTCAGCTATGGATAGATCCTACCGAAGAGTTTGTCCAGTATACTCACTCTGGTGATCCCGTTGACGTAACATTCGGAGTTAAGGAGCTGAAGGTGATGCAACTAATTACCGACTTACATACGAGCAGATTTTCATCAACTTACAAACTTTTAATACACATTATAACTTGAACATTCTATAATGGGCAAATTACGATCACCCCCCTGAGGTATGGCCAAATTACGAAAAAAAAACCCCTCTTGTTTGGGTAATTACAGCCATCCCCTCCTTTTAAATATTTTAACATAAAATTTATGTAATTCGGTTATTTACCGACTGCAAATCGTATATTCAGTTCGGTAAACGGTATGAAATGTTGGCGTACCGAAATTTACCTCGGGAGGGGTTTTTTCATAAGATAATACATAGTTGAGGGGGTGGCTGTAATTACCCAAACAAGAGGGGGGTTTTCGTAATTTGACTATAACTCAGGGGGTGGCCGTAATTTGCCCTTCTATAATTGACTACTAATTTTGAATTTTTGATACGTTTGTAATTGATTATTTCCATAGTCTACAACACTTATTTCCTTTGAATTTTCTCTTGTTTCCAGGCATTTCTTGCATACTGTGAGGGATGTGAAGTTGATGTACACTTGTATCTTGATAAAGCTGGAGAGTAAGCGTCGTTTTTTTGTTCCATATATCTGATAAGCTCTTTTATTCGTCTAGTTTATTTGTGAAGCTGACCTTCTATTTTTCAATTACGAAAGACAGCTAAAAATATAATAGTCGAAAATCACGTTAATTTAATGCTTATCTGCTCCGCTCAACTTGACTTAGAAAATCAATGTTCGATTTAAATCCCGTTGTTGTTAAATACAATCTGACAATTGGAGAAGGCAGGCCAATACTGATGGCACCGAAATTCGGGTTGGACGACGACGGTTCGACTTCAAACTTTGATGCTTCCCTTGTACTTGCCACCATGCTCGTGTCGCAACTCAATAATGGTGGAAATTCTTCTCAACCTCATCCAACAGTGGCCAATAACCGGGCCCCGGAAAATCAGGCAACAAAAGGAAATACTTGTGAGAATCCATCGGATCACACCAGAATTTGGTCGGAACTCTCAGGTGAGAACACCATATGTTATGTATAATGTTAAAACTGTATATATATATATATATATATATATATATATATATATATATATATATATATATATATATATATATATAGGGCAAATTGCACTTCCCCCCTCAAAATCGAAAAATGAGACTCTCCCCCTTCGAAATATATGACGCGGTGCACTGTGCCCCAAACGTGAGTATTTTCGAGCTAATTCTTGTCGGATTTGAGTAAATTAGAAGGGTAATTTCGTCTTTTAATGCTTTAAATGTCATGTGCCCTTTTTTCACCACTGCATTACAATGATTACGAAGAACAAAGAACAAATTTTGTCGAATTTG